TATATAAAGTATATATTTTATATTGTTTCCAAACTAATATAGTTTTGATGAAATACAAATTCTCAGCCACATATCAAAACATGTGACCTCAACTTTGAGAGACTGCCTGCTTGACTAAACGGGTTATTTAGCCCACTGCTTTGTTTGAGGGCCACACCCAGACAGAAAGACGATGCTTGAAGGCACAAAAACATGTCATCACAAAGCCTGTCAGCAGCCCTGTGAGCCACATGATTGACACCCTAGGTAGGGCTCGCTTTTAACTCTGGGTTAACCTTCGTGCTATGTATGCTTGCGATTTTTAGTTGGGGATTAAATTGAACGCTCGAGTATGAGGCATTGTTTAGGGAAGGGAGCGATTAACATTTATCACATGCGTACACATGGCTTGTTGGGAGGGGCAGGAAGCTGAATGTTCGGTGAAGGGAGATTGAAGCCGAATCCTTGGAGAGGTAACATTTTAATGACTTCTCTCCGAGGTGGGGCGGAAGAGGGGGTATGGAAAATGAGTCTACCCCTTTGAAATTGTTGAAAAATGTGACCTTTTGTGTGGGTAAGAGTTCGTTCAAAGTCAAACTGTCTCCCTGCTCTAATTATCAGAGGGGCAGTGTTCAATTTAATTTGAAAAATTCCACATTCCTTTGACAAGAGCTAGTCTTTACATTATGAGACCTCATTTGCCAATAACAAGATATAGTAATAGGTTTTTACCCTTTTAGCTGGCACAAAAACTGACACCTTTATACAAGGGATCATGTTTGCAATAACCACAACACAAGCAGTCAAAAATGCAAACAAAAAGAAACAACTCTGATAATAATATGCACTGTCCTTGAATTTGATTGGTCCACACCCGAGACGGTTTTTCTTAGAGCCTAGTCTCCACTGGTGTTGGACCAGATGACACCATAAGGCGTACAACTCAAAAACAGCGCACTATCGGAGTATTGAGAGCTCGGGGTAAGCTTATGGTTCAATTGTGGAAAGCACTGCTAACCAGAAGGCTTAAACCATATTCAGCAACCATAATTATGAGCTGAGCTTGACTGCAGAGAGTCCTATAACAAGACTAGCTCTTATAGTAATATTAAATGTAAAGAAAACTAAACGCAAAAAGCAGTTCTAAAGAAATTAGTTTTCAAACTGGAATTTAAAAGTGCACAGCTCCGGTGGTTTCCTAAAATCGAAAGGAAGAGTGTTCCAGACGCCAGCAGAAGCGCATCTGAAAGTGAGCGATGCGGTGACTACGGTCTTTGTTTGATGGTTAGCCAAAGCCGCTGCTGCGAGGATGACCGAGTTTGTGTGATGGTTTATGCTTCTTGACAAGATCAGCAAGGTATTATAGTTCAATTGTGGAAAGCACTGCTAACCAGAAGGCTTAAACCATATTCAATTGAGAGCTCGGGGTAAGCTCTCAATACTCTGATAGTGCGCTGTTTTTGAGTTGTATGCCTTATGGTGTCATCTGGTCCAACACCAGTGGAGACTAGGCTCTAAGAAAAACCGTCTCGGGTGTGGACCAATCAAATTCAAGGACAGTGCATATCATTATCAGAGTTGTTTCTTTTTGTTTGCATTTTGACTGCTTGTGTTGTGGTTATTGCAAACATGATCCCTTGTATAAATGTGTCAGTTTTTGTGCCAGCTAAAAGGGTAAAAACCTATTACTGTAAGAGCTAGTCTTGTTATAGGACTCTCTGTAGTCAGGCTCAGCTCAAAATTATGGTTGTTGAATATGGTTTAAACCTTCTGGTTAGCAGTGCTTTCCACAATTGAACCATAATACCCTGCTGATCTCGTCAAGAAGCATAAACCATCACACAAACTCCGGTCATCCTCGCAGCAGCGGCTTTGGCTAACCATCAAACAAAGACCGTAGTCACCGCATCGCTCACTTTCAGATGCGCTTCTGCTGGCGTCTGGAACACTCTTCCTTTCGATTTTAGGAAACCACCGGAGCTGTGCACTTTTAAATTCCAGTTTGAAAACTAATTTCTTTAGAACTGCTTTTTGCGTTTAGTTTTCTTTACATTTCCGTACCTCCGATTAGAACGGTTGGCTCGGTACTATGTGAAAGAAGTTCTATTACATCTAATGGTTCACCCCTTTATACTGCGATTAATGAATTGCCACAATTACATCATTAATTAAATTGGGTTTTGCAGTGTGTGCAGAATACATAGCAGTTATGAATATATAATGTTAAGGGAGCAATTTTCTTTCTTATGGCTGCTGATGTAGATGCAGAGCAACAACTACAATTTCACATTAAGATCGTCAAATTAGATCACCGTGTCAGGAGCAGCGGAGTTGCCTATTGCCGCGATGTCTCCTTCGTATTTGTGGATCGGGGCATTGCGTCGTTATACGTTGTACGGTCTGTTCTGGATGACCACAGTCGCATTCTGCTGGAGAGTTTAAAATTTTCCACTTGTGCATTAGGTATCCGCATCTGCCATGGTTTGTGCAGTGGATGCGGTTTAGGGTGGACCATGAGCTTGGTGGAAGATTAAAACCCAGGGAACGTCTACATTGAAAATAGCCTCGCATGGTCGAGTTAGTTTGAAGTATTGTCAGATTGAACATAATTGATATTGTTATTTCCAGTGCCACGCCATAAGACACGTTTGAACTCTCGACGCCACATCACACTCTGTTTTGCGAACGTTTCCCTGGGATGCAGCTACTTTTGAAAGGAAGGTGCAACCCCCACTGAGCTATTGTTTTCCATTTTGTTTTTAATGTCACAACAGTACCACGTGGCAACAATGCGTGAGGTGATACTGGACCGTGTATCTTGTCTGACAAGCTTCATTCTTAATTTCTGCAAAAATATGCTTCGTTTTTAAATTACTACTCAAATTTCGCATTTTCAAGTTGCTTTAGTTTACCCAGGTGAGAACCGGAGACCAGGATGCATCTCATTTGCAAGAGTGAGCTCAAACAATCTGTCAGAACGGGGCAATGGTTGCTGTGTGTAATCCCAATTAAGTATGATAATAGGTTTTTCCCCTTTTTTCTGGCAACAAAACAGGTGTTAAGATGTTAAAACACCAAACTGAAACCTTTTACAAGGAATCATGTCTGCATTCACCACAATGCTTGTGGTCAGAATGCAAACAAAACACAAACTCTGATAACATATGCATTGTCCTTGAAACTGATTGGTCCACACCAGAGACAGCTTTCTTTTGAGCCTCGTCTCAAACGGCGTTAGACCAGAGGACGCCAAAAGACGTACAGCCCAAAGTAATTTTATAATTTGGCAAATGTGGACCCTGAACGCTTCGGAGGACGAGCCTACTCTTCTTCCCAGTGATATCAAGGGAATCTTTGAGGTCCTCTGCGAAGCCGGCAGCACGTACTAGTGTTGTGGTCACATACTCGGCTCCACGGAAACGGCAAGACTGGCCTAGCCCAGGGTTGTTCACCCGATGCTGGGGGGGACAAAGCCTTCTATAGCGCAGCCCCAAAAGATCTTGAACTTCGTCTCGTTGCATGCCACCGGACATCCGAAACGTGCCGAGAGCCTCTCGGTTCCGTGGTCTGTGCAAGACACGCACTGGTTCAGACTTGACGTACCATACGTTCAAAAACATAAACGGTCTCTTTGCTTTCAATTGATTTTATTTATTTTTATTTACTGCTTTCAACTTTCTTACGCGATTTGTTTGTGCGCGGTTGCAATTTGCTTTGCTCTGTCGGTGTTGGGCGCCGAGGGCGTGACGGGTTTCTTTTATCACCTCTGTTGCTCTATGCCCCCTGTACCTTTCCAGTTCCACTGTAATGCGCACCGATGCTGACATTATTGAGGGCAATATTGTCACGTAAAATGAAGATTGATTGGTTGTCATTACACCCGCAGTAATAATCAGGACGGCCATTGCATTTCAACTGTGAACCTCCTCCTCAAGCAGTTTAACACCACACAGGCTTTCGCGACCAATATTATCCACAACCTGCCACCACCTGATTGGTAAGGTTTGTTATGTAAACAATGGTCCACCGCCAGACCATGCCACCGCCTCGCTTGCAAACTACAGTAGTTTAGAGCCTATGGTGCCCATATATAAGTCACTCGGGCACAGTACAAGTAGTTTACGGTAATGACTCGTTTTGAGGTGATGTGGATATGGGATGAGGCAGCCTGCATCCTATTGTTAACTATTACTAAAAACGACTAATATCCAGCAGTAGATACAACATCGCCGATGGTATAATGTTCTTCTGAAGCAACTTAAGTACGTATCATCTAGGTAACATCAACCCTGTTAGTTTTTCCTACTATCTAAAAGCTAGGGCTTGTTTGGGGGTGCCTGTGGCGCCCCTCACAAACATTTACGGCCTTTGGCCAGGAAAGTCACACAAAAATTGCACACGAACGACGCATTCACGCAAGCACCCAATGCTCCGTTTTGAGGTGTAAAATAAAACATCTTTTATATTATGTTTTGAATTAGGCAATTTTATTTATTAAAAGCTTATGTAATTTTACATCCTTGAAGACTTGAAAACGACATTTCGTGTGAATTTTCTCTCGGCGTTAAGTCGATGGCCTTGCTGGGGGTTCGGTTCGATGCGGACTTTCACCTGTTTGGAATTGCGGGATCGAGATCAGGCGACATAGAGTTGGCCGTGTGAGAAGACCGCCGTCTGCAGATCGATTCCAACGTAATCGAACGTCTGTCCCTGCGCCTCCGTCGTTCATGCAGGGGGTGCGTAGGTTTGCAGCGCCCCCTGCATGAAAACGACGGAAAGTGCAGCGTTCATCACAGATAGATAAAGTTGTGCGCTTACATAAGAGTACCCTTTTAATGAGACCCAACGCGTAGTGTTGTATGTGGGTTCACATTGCTTCAAGTGACAGTGAGGATAACGTTCATCACAGCTGTATTATTTTCGTCTGTTTGCGGTAACATTCACATCCATTTTTAATTGTTGGGTTTATTTTTGTCACGAGTGCATTTCCCTTTTCTTGTCTTCTCCACTTGTGTGCTCAGCTACCTGAACGACCTGGAAAGGATCTCGCAGCCAAGCTACGTGCCTACGCAGCAGGATGTGCTGCGTACGCGGGTGAAGACCACCGGCATCGTGGAGACTCACTTCACATTCAAAGACCTTCACTTCAAGTGAGAACATGCTCATGTAAACTTCCCGATTACCACGCGTCCCTTACAGAATAAATAACGTAGAATTTGTAACGTGCGGTTTTTTGCTCACTCTCGGAGAGAGAGGGGGAGAGGGAAAATGTTTTGAGGCGCGAGAAACCACAGGCAAGCGGGATGGCAGCCAGAACCGGTGCCTAAAATTGTTCAAGCTCTGCAGTCCTACGTTGGGATTGATGGCCAACTCCATGAATGAGAGTTTATGATTTTTTGGAGAAAACCGGAGTGTCCAGAGAAAATCCACGTGCTGTGAGGGTGCTAACACTCAATCTGAATAGAGTTGCTGTACTGCCATTACCCTGGCAGGCCAGGCCATGGTGACCATCATGCTCAATGATTATAGGGAGGGAGTTTCACAAATGTGTGTGATCCACCAACTCCTCGCTGCCTTCACGGTGTTGGATCACTGCCTTGCAGCATAGCCACCAGCACACGGGTTGTGCCAAAAGAGATGGTGGGTAGCGTTGAGTAATTGTCTGTTCATCCTGTTCACAGTGGTGTCCATGTGCAGTGCTGTACAAAGTACTTGGTACATACTGGCCACAGATGCTGGACCCCTGTGTAGCGTCACTGCTGACTCTAAGCCCCTGATTGTTACCACAGAAAGCCAATCTCTGGATGTGCCTCAATAAAGCAGTATATGCAATAAAGCGGTAGATGTTGTGCAGAGCACAACTATTTACTTGACATCTGCAAAAAATGAAGGGATTCTCATCTGAAATATTCTCAAGCTCACCAGTGTGTGCATGTTGCACACTATTTGTGATCAGTTTGTAGGAAACATTCAATGCATGCTTGCAGGAACATATCTGAATTATGTATTGAACAATATACATTTCAAACAAGGCATAACCACAACGTTATTGCATCAAGATGATTTGAGCCGACATGTAATTTCATAAACCGTAATTTCTCAATGAGTTTTTGCAATAACTGGGAATATGGTTATGTACGTGTGTATGTTGAACTTCTTTTGCAATTCACGTAGCCAACCGTGCTAATCGGAGGCGCAGGGGAAGGACAACAAACTAAACACAAAAAGCAGTACTACAGATACGAGTTTTTAATCTAGATGATTTAAAAGTACATAGCTCCGGTGGCTTACTAATATCGGAAGGAAGAGCGTTCCAGACGGCCGCAGAAGCGCATCTGAAAAAGCGAGTGATTCAGTGACCGTCTTTTGTTTGATGGCAGCCAAAAGCCGCTGCTGTAAGGATGACCGTGAGAGTTCACGTGATGATGGTTCATGCTCTTTGACGAGATCAGCAAGGTATTGTGGTTTCATTTGTGGCAACCACTTTGTGTGTAATGAGCTTGGTGCAAACATGTGAAATGTTTAAAGAGAAGAGGGACAAGTGTCTGTGTTGTTTTGGCATTGCAGGTAACAAACACAGACCGCTAAAGAACATTTGTGATTAGGAGTCGGGCATTGTGTGCTGTTAAAACGTACAGTGGGACCCCATTTATATGTAATAATGCAGGGATATTGACCAATAATCGAAACCGCTTATAATGAGAAACCATTTAATTGCAACCCTACAACCCAATGTACAGCACATCCTGGTAGCGGAATGATAAACGTGGAGCAGAACGCAGGTCTGCAGAGTACTGTGCAGTATATCCAGGTCCCAATAAAAATGCCATAGTGCGCAGTGTTGTAGCGCATTCCACATAGACAGCATAGCATCAGCCTAGCCATAGCTCACCCCACATGCTGTGTGGCAAGAGGTCCGTGTAGCCCCCGGTCTCCACTCTTGCACATTCCTTGCAGATTGAGGCAACGAAGTGGGATAGAGGTTCTTGACAGAGATCCTTCCTGAAATGGAGTTGATGGGCAGTGGTGAGGATAGAGGAGAGGGCCTACTGCATCTTCATCCGGTAGGAAGTGGAAATGAAGTGGCAGTGGCCATTCTGCAGAGGTGAAGTCACGCGCACCCTGTCGGCCGAGAAGAGGTCGTGTAACAGAACGTTAAATTTTGATTTAAAGCTTTAGTGACTGCAGTAATTCATATTCTTAGCTCTTTCGGTAAAGTCACGTTGAAGGGAAACAATAAAATAATAAAATATATATAAAACAATAAAAATTCTCACGACGTTTCGACCATAACACAAACCGACACACCTGATGACGACCGTTTGTGTTATGGTCGAAACGTCGTGAGAATTTTTTATTGTTTTATATATATTTTATTATTTTATTGTTTCCCTTCAACGTGACTTTACCGAAAGAGCTAAGAATATAACAGAACGTTGTAACCGTTCCTGCCGCTGAGATTACGCTTGGTGCAACCCATGCAGCGCGCACTGCGTGCGACTGCGTTGAGGCCTTCACATTGCTCGCCGCCATGGGAAGTGCCATGTGCATCGCTGCTTGCGCAACCCTTGCAAAATATGTAGCTGCGTAGCACGAGAAACTTTATCCTAATTTAGGAAGTGTCTTTGCATTTTTTGAAGCACTGCACGACAAAGCAGTCTGTTTTTGAAGCCAAATGCGCATACGTTAATGTCGTGTTTTAAATGTGATTCTCCCTGCAGGATGTTTGATGTTGGTGGACAGCGGTCCGAGCGCAAGAAGTGGATCCACTGCTTTGAAGGGGTGACGGCCATCATCTTCTGCGTGGCACTCAGTGCCTACGACCTGGTGCTGGCTGAGGATGAAGAGATGGTAAGTCTTGCCTGTGCCTCTTGCTAATAATAATAATTATAGCGTCTTAACACTACGCGCATCTCTAGGCCCTGTACAGGAACAACTACGTCGCACAATGCAGACAAACTTCCTAGTCCACGTCCGTGTGTGTTTAAATATGTAGCTGTCGGATACAGTCATGTGCTCCTTGACTTGTTTCACAGCGTTAACAGGAATGTACAACGTGGTTTAAGAACCCATTTTTAAATGTCAATAATTGAAACAAAGAACAGACATCTGAAATGCATAAACGTGCATTAAAATATTCCACTGCATTGCCAATGGAATATCGAAGTGTCTGAGTTAGCTAGTGCTATTTCTCCGTGTAAGAGTCTGCAGCCGCACGATAGCAAACTAAAACATGAACAGGCGTGCAAGTGGAAGACGCGAGTGTACGTCTGGGCGGTGTTCTCATATGAACGGCAGCTTTATCAACACTGAATTCTCAAGGGTGGATGGATACAAGGTTCGCGTGAGTCCCCTGGCCTCCGCTGATTAATGGACAAGCGGATAAGGGCGACGACGTCCAGGGCGACGACGTCCAGGGCACACGGCAGTTGCGCACGAGTAGGTTACAGCGTCTCGGGGAGAATAATCGAACGGCGGGTTTCCGTTGATATTGCAATGCTCCTCTATTGTTTTTCTTCCTGGAAAATGTGTGTGTTTGCAGAACCGCATGCACGAGAGCATGAAGCTGTTCGACAGTATCTGCAACAACAAGTGGTTCATAGAGACGTCAATCATCCTGTTTCTCAACAAGAAGGACCTGTTTGAGGAGAAGGTTATCCGGAGCCCTCTCACCATCTGCTACCCGGAATACACAGGTAGCTTGCAGTCGTGTCGCACAGTGAGCACAGTTCTCTGTGGAGTGTTTATGGTCGCGACGGTCTGATCAATGTGTGCCTGTGTATATGTTTTTTTTTACAGTTCTGGAAAAGCCATTGTATACGTGACAACAGTTTTTGGGTTGCGTGCAATGATCTGGCCAGATTTGTGCAGTCCAGACCCTTCACCACCCAACATAACCCAACAAATTGTCACGTTCAATTATTATTGCTTCCGTAAATTAATATTGCTTTGTTGCAATGGCATTCTTTGATTCTGATGTGAATTGTTAAATGCCTATAACATCTAGAAGTGTTTCAGTACGTCGAGAAGTGCTGTGTGCATATGTCGGATAGCATTGAACACCCGTTATACGAAGTGTAGTCGTAATATATACACAAAAAAACTCAACACTCTCTAAACAACTGCCTTAAAAGAAGAGCCAAATGAATTGTGCCATGACAAAGGGGCATTGCCCAAAACGTCAGTGTGATTGACGGTTTTTAGTAATTTGTGCACAACGTCACTATCCTTACGACCAATAACTGTGTGGGCTTTCACCGGTTTTTTCCACTGCCGCGTTGGCAGCACCATGACCATGCGTATAATTGTTTCCCCCTCTTGCAACCTCGCTACGAGTGGATGCGGCGCAGGAATGCAACGCATCTGTCGATTGTTTATTTCCTGCAGGAGGGAACACTTACGAAGAGGCCGCCGCGTACATCCAGACGCAGTTTGAGAACTTGAACAAGCGGAAGGAGTCCAAGGAGATTTACACCCACTTCACTTGCGCCACAGACACCAAGAATGTACAGTTTGTGTTTGACGCAGTCACCGATGTAATAATCAAGAATAACTTAAAGGACTGCGGTCTTTTCTAGGCTTGCTCTGAAAACACACTCATGGTAAAACATTGTTCTTGTGATGATGATGATGATGATGAAGTGATGAGGGTTAGTAATGGTCCATGCCATAAAGAAAAAACACTTCGTTTATTTTGTAATTCAAGTGCACCTTTTTCAGAAATTTCAATTAACACAGAAGCCAGCGGTAGTATGATAATGGTTCAGCGTACTCCATTGTTCTGCACGACCCTCTGTCCCATCCAGTGTGTGACGACAGTTGTGACGAAGTAAGCCTCTCCCAACCCTGTGCATGTGAGCGATGTGGCTTGCGTGTGTGGTGCAGCCTTGACTCGGAGAAGTCTGGGGCGGAACATCGGAGCCTCGCGAGTCCCTTCTCCAATCTGGCAGCTGAAACGTAGCGCTGCACCACCGCGCTATCCACCGCCGTGCGCCGGCACGTTACTCTGCTGCACTCATTTGGTAAATTATCTTATCGGAAGAAAACGAAATTTTCATTAAGCCGGAGCTTAAAAAATTTATGTTTTCTACGTAAACAAAATGTGCCGATCATCCACCAATTTACACGTTTGTAAAATATCTTAGTTTGTCAGCGATGTGCACGTTTCACAATTTTCCTGAAGTGTCAAGTTTAAGCCGTGCTTCACCTTTTCCCGTGACATCTGCGTTACACTTGTGATTCTGTTGCAATGAGGCGCTGAACAAGAGTGTGAGAGGAGAGAATTGAGTCGAAACTCCTCCAATATCCACCCAAAGGTTTGTAAGAGACCAACATCCCACACCCCGCCCGCTTAACTTCCTCTGTATTTTGCACCTCGTGTGCTCCCTAATCGGTCAGGAGTCTTCATTCCCAAAATCCTCAGCTCTTATTTTCAGTCACTTTATAAGGCAAGGTGGGCCGCCAAGTTCAGAACCTTTGGTCCAGGGGCTCGGTGTGTCTCGTAAATGCACACACTGCAGTCTGTAAAGGCACGTATTTTTCTTCACAGATTAATCAACTCTAGTGAGCTACTCCTGCCACATCACAGTTTAGGGTCAGAGTAGCCATTGCAAGTTTTAATTTTTTTGCATTTTTCTACAATTCAGAGTTGTGCTGCTGAAGGTAGTGTGGATACGGAGCAACACTTTTCTATTGCAAAACTTAGGGCAGCAGATTCTGTCTCATTGCAAATGCCTTCATTGGTAACCTCCACGACCAATATGTTGTGTTATCAATTTTTTTAAGCGAATTAGTCGATTATTTCTGTACCCAGTTGCCATACAGTCGCAAATTTTAACCCTCGCTAGACCAAGTTATTCCTTGGAGCCGACGTTGTTAGTATTTTTTGTGCGCGCAGGCAATTGACCAAGCTGAGAATGTCGAGTCGCTAGCGTGAATGGCTGGCCTAAGTGCGACAAGCACCAAGTCAGAGGTGCGGAGGCCAACGCTGACCCTGTGCGTTGGGTATCCGTGAGCCGAGCGGCTGTGCGTGTGCTGTGGTGGTGTGTGCGGTAAACAAAATTTTACTCGCCATTAGGATCCATTAAGTTAAAAGTATTTGATAAGATTGCCATATCTATCTATCTCTCTCTCCACATTGAAGTTGGAAACCTGGAACCTAACCTTTAAGGGACTGTAAGCTTCCTTTGAAGTTCATTATGCTCGAAGCATTTCTCACCTCGTGCAGTGCAAACTCGCTGGTCGTTCACGCTGGCGGGCGACCCACATCCTTGTGCGTAATTGGAACACGCCACTTAATGAACGGCCGCACAGAATGTGTCGTAAACCGTCGTGTAGGATTCCTTCGTCCTTTTCATTGCGTCATGCGGATCCCATTGTGATGTGTCGCCAACATTGCAGGTAACGGGTGTCTTGTAGAAAACTACTGGCAGCAGCGTTTGGATGGATAGGTAGACTGCGTGTAAAGAGCAGTTCTTTGTCTTTTAGGAACCGCCTTTCGCTGTCGGTCGCTCTGCAATCCTGAATGCATTCTCGGCAGATACGCAAGCCAGTGTGGATGGTCCGAACACACGGTGCCCATTCCACTTTACTGTGGACAACCCAGAGTAATCACATTTGAATTGAAGAGAACCAGCAAATAACACGTGGCAATTATGCACGAGTTCTTTATAAAGGTTAAACGTTGCATTTCAGCACTGCAAAATAATATTTTCATATGAAGATTGGTTCGCGAGTGTCTTTTTGATTCCTTTCAATGATGTCCCTTGCTGGCGATGCCATGAATATACATCTAACGCACTGTGCCGCGTGCTCCTGCATTACTTGTCCAATATTTGTTTTCCACAACAGCGCTCCGCGCTTGATTGTTGCAGGAACGACCGATGAGATGATCGCTCAGCAGGTTGCTTGTGTGGCCAGGGAGCAGCCGGCCGAGGACAGAATCTCATTCAACAGATGGTTTTATTTTGTATTGACCGTACCTTTGTTAACCTTGATACGTTGTATGCATTTCGCTCTCTTAATCTTTGCCTTATACCACAACGATTCCATAATTTCAATTAGGCTAGGCTAGTGTTAAGCTTTAATGTTTGACGCTTTGTGAAAATACTTTGGTCCACTTTGATTTTCATTGAATTTAGTTTCGCCGACTTTGTGTTTCACAAGGTTGAGCACGAAGCTCGTAGGTTGGTGTCGTCGTGTCTGGAGCTGGCTTGTGTCCTGGAGCATCACACGCTTGGTGCAAGCCGGTGTGTGTGCATGTGTGCGTGTGTGCGTGCTTAACCATGATTGTTTTTTTTTGCTCTTGCCTTCATAAATCAGCCATGTTTAAAATTAGCCATATTTATGGGCGATTTCCTCTTGACCGTTCACGAAAATGTACTTTGATTGACCCTACTGTGCATGTCTGCAATGCCTTTTCACTGTGTCAATGTTTTGCCTCAACACGGGCATTGTGCACATTTTTACGTGACCTTAACTACTCGCGACATTCCGTGCACGCGTGCGTGCCGTGTCATCTCGTGACGGAGTCTCTTCTGCTTTTAACTGGATGCCGACACCAACTCGGAGACCAATTTTTTTTTAAATCCACCTCGTTTTTCTTTGGCTTCTTCGCGACTTGTGTACATTGCTTTTAACACGAAGCTTAAATACGCCTTTTGTGAAAATGTGTTGCTGTTAACAATAAAGAATTTCAACACTTTGACAGAATTCTCGATGAATCGTAATCCTATTGTAAATTTCCAGTGATGGGGACAGGATATAACACAAACTCAATGAGTCTCCTTCTGGGCTACCTAGCTACGAAGCATAATACACCATTATGAGTAAAAGAAGGGGGCCTCCCTTAACGGTAATCGATTAATCACGTGAACTGGGCTTGCTCGCTTCACATCTCCCTGTACACCTCAAAAGGTCCTGCAAAGCTGAGAGATGGCAAAGGTTCTGCACAGCTTTATAAAGCGTAGGGAGAATTAAAATAGAGGAACATCGTGATCGATTGCGAACCTTGACAATGCATCTGAATGATCGTCGGCCATATTTCAACTAATGGATAACGGGCGTGGCCGTCTGTCAGGTTCCGTAATGGGTCGAGTGAGCTCTCCCAGGTTTAAGCCCATGGCATTAAACATGCACTTTAAAGATTTTAAAATTGACGTATCACCGGAAGACAATGCAATGAATGTCTTCATTCGTGTGACGTTCATTTTTCTTTACTCCGCAAACGAATCGAGCGGCGACATTTGACACCAGCCTGAAGCGTGTTGCGACCGGTGTGTTGGCGATGTTGGAGGAAAATTCGGCGTTTAGAACGCCGTGGTTGCTTATTTACGGACCAGCATACCGTGATGTGTTGATGGGTTAGCGTGACAGCAATTATGATGTGAACAGCTCATGCCAGGGGTAACCAAATCCCCACACTCCGGTTACCGTTTACACTTCGCTGAATTTAAATTTTTCTAATTGCTGTTTTTGCCATGAATGTTTTTCTCTCCCTGTAGAGTGAATCCCTTGATGTTGTTGGTCATCACCAGAGACTAACAATCGTACTTATGAGTACTTTTTAATTGGCGAGGCGAGTTGCATGTTTTTGTTTAATGACTGGAACGCGCTGATTTCGTGAGCTCTATCGTGACAGGTACTTTAATGATAGGACCACGCCAATGTGTTGTTTAGGTAAAAAAAAACATTCTAAGGGTTAGCAGCCGTGATAAATAATTGTGCCCGACGAATTTCGAGCGAGCAACACGTTCAGCGAAACTCTGTTCAGAAGCGACCTGGCTATCACATGATAGCCCAAAGAAGTGGCTCATCACGTGGACATTTATCGCAGGCAAATACTCGAGACGCGTGACGTTCATTCTGAATGTGGAGGGAGAAAAAACCGGAGGACACCGGAGGAAAACAAATATCTACGCGACCACGTGGAGACAAATATACAACAGCAGGTGTCAGAGTTAGGATCGAACCCACGACACCTGTATACCAGGCGAGGTAGTTAACATCTCCTAACCACCGTGGCGCCCCTCACAATCACTTCTCACAATCACTTCACAATTATTCACGAAACAAGTATGACAAAGATGAATTTGCCACGCAATTTAGGGGCCATTCATTGAGTGGGTACGCAAAAATGATGTCGACTCCCCCCCTCCCTCCCACCTGCGTACGCCTGACGCGCCCCCCGAATCCTATAGAACGGCCGATATTTAATCCACGCAGAAACGATCAAGGATTAATAATATTAACGTGTTTAAGCAAACAGTCCACCGCCGGACTATCTTTACTAATTTGAAGGCCAATGTAGACAAATTATTATCGAGGCTTCACCCCCCCCCCCCGTTTCCTATGCGTGCATTGTCAGTAGACCCCCCCATGCGCAAGCGAACGCATTTGGGTTACCCCCCTCCATGCGTGCGTATTCAATGGATGGCCCCTAATGTTATAATCAGCGATCATCACGGTTAGGACTCAATGGATGGCCCCTAATGTTATAATCAGCGATCATCACGGTTAGGACTCAATGGATGGCCCCTAATGTTATAATCAGCGATCATCACGGTTAGGACTCAATGGATGGCCCCTAATGTTATAATCAGCGATCATCACGGTTAGGACTCAATGGATGGCCCCTAATGTTATAATCAGCGATCATCACGGTTAGGACTCAATGGATGGCCCCTAATTTTATAATCAGCGATCATCACGGTTAGGACTCAATGGATGGCCCCTAATGTTATAATCAGCGATCATCACGGTTAGGACTCAATGGATGGCCCCTAATGTTATAATCAGCGATCATCACGGTTAGGACTCAATGGATGGCCCCTAATGTTATAATCAGCGATCATCACGGTTAGGACTCAATGGATGGCCCCTAATTTTATAATCAGCGATCATCACGGTTAGGACTCAATGGATGGCCCCTAATGTTATAATCAGCGATCATCACGGTTAGGACTCAATGGATGGCCCCTAATGTTATAATCAGCGATCATCACGGTTAGGACTCAATGGATGGCCCCTAATGTTATAATCAGCGATCATCGCGGTTAGGAAGCAATGCCAATTAGCGCGCACGTGGAAAGGTGGAGTATGAACTTATGTTGCACCGTACCTAGCCAGTCGTGCTAATCGGGAGGTGGAGGTTGTGGATAAATCATCCTCCTATTTCGGTCTCAGGAGGATTTCTCCACAAATCTGTCTCCTGATGATGCTAGTTGTACTTTTTGTCGAAACGTCGTGTGAATGTGAGTTTACTCTCCAACACACAGCTGGTGTGCTGTACTAGTAACTAAATGGAATGTTTTGTTTAGGTGACAAAACCTGCTAATCGGCTGTCGGGTGGTGGTTGTTTTAACGACATTATTATTGAGGCGATTTAACCCAAAAACCTCATGGATAATATTTGTCACGAAAGCCTATGTCCTCTCCAATGCAAAACAGCACTCATTACAATGGACCCGGCCAAACAGATGCCACCGCTTTCCAAATTCAGCTTCCATGGGTTTCGACATCACCATTTAAACATTTGAAACAATTTTTTTTTGCCAGGTAAGGCCCACTGAGCGACGTGGCTTGTTTTAAGAAGCGACCTGGCCACAAATGATAGCTCAACGAAGTGGCTCACTTAAGATCGAACCCACAACCCCCCGCATACCAGACGAGGCAGTTAACATCTCGCCACCACCACCAGCAGCAGCAGAAGCATGAGTACAAGTGACACGATCAGCAGCAGCAGCATGATAATCATCTGCAACAGCAGCACACGTGACAAAGCGCACGGTGATAATAAACAAGACGCATCGTGTGCCTCTACACAATGCACCACTAGAGGGCGCATTCAGCCTATGCATTAAGAATCACCAGACCACCCTCAAACATTCATTAAATAATAGAGCATTGAATCATCTGCAGGGTTCTCAATTGGTATAAGGGGCCGTCCATAAATGACGTCACGCACCTGGGGGGGGGGGGTCAGACATTTGTGACGATGTGTGACGAGGGGGGGGGTTTGAGAAATGTGACGTCACGTTCTATTGTGTTGTCTATATTTATAGACAACACAATAGAACGTGTTGTCTATAAATATAGACAACACGTTCTACTTAATTAAATAGACTTTTTAATAAATGTGTTCTCCTACAACATCAGAGTGCAGCGCCACATTAAATACGCACTACAATGGCAATAGTTTAAAGCGATGTGAAGCATGTTTTATTTTCAAAATGGAAATATGGTTTTGAAGGGGGTGGGGGCAGAGCGTTGTGACGTCATATTTGAGGGGGGGGGTCTCTTTGTGACGCCGTGTCACGAGGGGGGGGGGGGGGGTCAAAATCGTCCAAAATAGCGTGACGTCATTTATGGACGGCCCCGAACCGGCAAACCGGTTTTTAGAATCGATTTACCGGTGCGAAAGCCGTGAAACCGGTCCTAGTTTCCGAGGGAAGATGAGTAGCCAGTAGGTGGGCTCACCTTCACGGTGCCCCACCACGTGACCACCCACTGTGCCGACAGAGGCGTGGGAGGTTTGATGGTTTTCCTGCCACGCCGGGAGGTCGGAGGAGTCGGGCCGGGCCCTCGCGACACCCACACGGTGGCCGCTCGGTCGCTCGGCACACAAGGGGAGGAGGACACACCCAGTCACGATGTTGCCCCGAGACGTGTCTGCGTGCTGAACCACCAGTAACCGGTTTTTACCGGTTTTTTTGTCTCCATTCGGTAATCGGATATATCACCCCAACACCCTCCCCCCATACCACCGCCCCACTACCCCCATCACCCCCCCGAGATATGAACAACTCGAATGGTGTAGAACTCATTCCCTCTTCGTCCGTGTTGTCAGAGTGGCCTCAGTCACTTCACCTTGGGTGGCAAACCAACATTTGATTAACCTCTCTCTCTCTATAACAAAACCATCAAATTGTCAAGAGCCGCAATATCGACAGCGTTGGTGGTGAATAAGGGACGGAAATAAATAAATAAATATCACGAAGCGGTCCTTAAAGCGCCGCGTGCGGAGCAGTAAGTTGCCGAACACATTGAGGGCGACTTCACTCCACCCAGATGATGATGATGAGGTGCGTGAACACCTGAGTCCCTTGACGGCGAGTCCGCGTGGATGAGTCCGAGTCTGCGAGGATGAGTCCGAGTCTGCGAGGATGAGTCCGAGTCTGCGTGGATGAGTCCGAGTCTGCGTGGATGAGTCCGAGTCTGCGTGGATGAGTCCGAGTCCGCGTGGATGAGTCCGAGTCCGCGTGGATGAGTCCGAGTCTGCGTGGATGAGTCTGCGTGGATGAGTCTGAGTCTGCGAGGATGAGTCTGAGTCTGCGAGGATGAGTCTGCGAGGATGAGTCTGCGTGGATGAGTCTGAGTCTGCGTGGATGAGTCTGAGTCTGCGAGGATGAGTCTGCGTGGATGAGTCTGAGTCTGCGTGGATGAGTCCGAGTCTGCGAGGATGAGTCCGAGTCTGCGAGGATGAGTTTGCGAGGATGAGTCTGCGAGGATGAGTCTGCGTGGATGAGTCTGAGTCTGCGAGGATGAGTCTGAGTCTGCGAGGATGAGTCTGAGTCTGCGAGGATGAGTCTGAGTCTGCGAGGATGAGTCTGAGTCTGCGAGGATGAGTCTGAGTCTGCGAGGTTGAGTCTGAGTCTGCGAGGATGAGTCTGAGTCTGCGTGGATGAGTCTGAGTGCGAGGATGAGTCT